GTTTGGAAAGAAGACTTATGGATAGAGTTAACAGGAAGATTAGCAGGCAGCATGTAAATTGGCCCACACCAGCTCTATTAATACATCTCTTTAAACGATTCAATATAAATGGCTAATGCGGATTTACATAACACCAGTAGACCTTAATAGGTATAACGGGGGACGTATGTTCAAAATGCACAGAGGAAAGAGGGACTCTGGTTCACTGGATGTGGCATTGCAGGGAAATTATACGGTTTGGAAAGGCGTAAAGGATGTCATAGAAAAAATTATTTCCAAAGAAATAGTTTTTGAGCCAAGGGTGTTTGTGTTTGGATTATACCCTGGAAAACATATTTACACAAAAAATAAGTGTTTATAAACTGAAGTTTGCTTAATGGGCATAGATGTGTATCAGTGTTTTAGAAAAAGACTCACAGACCGACCATAAACCAATGGCAGCAGATGTTATCTGTCCTCCCTCTGGAGAAGATGATGTATATATTAAAGAGCAAACAGGACCTGTTTGAGTCTATCTGGAATTCCTTCATTAATTATGTCCAGAATTCGAATATCTCAGAAGACGGTGCAAGTGATTGAAGAACATGTGAACTGCAGTTCCAAAAGACTATTTATTTGAGGACATATACTGTCAAATTTAATTCTCAGTATAAGAAGTTAAGTACGAAATGTGATCAGTCGCATTGGAACCAATATTGTGTAAGGGCAATCTGTTGCCTTTTTTTGTTTGTATTTTATTTTAACTTGAACTAAACTAAACTGCCAAAATTGTAATATTCATCTTCTTCCCTGGATACGTGGAAGAAGATGGATGGATGTAAACAGCGAAACCAGATTTATGTCAGAGTTACACCTCCTGTTCACCTCAGGTGGTTCTGACCTTACGCTCTATCTGCTTATGGAGTAAATATTGTTCTTATTGTTGCAAAGAAAGAACAGGATTTATAAAAAATTTTTATCCAGCAATTAAACTTTTAAACTTAGAATGTAAGGAAAAGTTTAAAAGTTTAGATTCCTTAGATTGTATTTTTTGTTTTATTATTTTGTCATATTTTCTTTTTTCAATTTTTATCTTTTCAAATGCTTTTTACTGATTAAATATGTTTAAATGTAGATCTTTCCAAGGTATTTAGAAAATATTAGATATTTTACAGATTTTATACATATATACATATATACATATATATATATATATATATATGTATATATGTATATATATATATATATATATATATATATATATATATATATATATATATACATATATATATATATGTATATATGTATATATGTATATATATATATATATGTATATATGTATATATATATATATATATATATATATATATATATATATATATATATATATATATATATATATATATGTATATATATATATATATATATATATATATATAATTTTTTTTATTATTGTTAAATGAATTGCGTTCTTACTGCATTTTCCAGATCAAAAACACATTAGATTTAAATCAAGCTTGAATAACAGAGGTGATCTGTGAAAACATGATTTAAAAAGAATGAACTTCATAAAACTCAATCGGAAAAGTTTATGTTGGAAAAATTGAAAAACATGAAATAAAAAAAAGTGAAACCAATAAAATAAAAAATAAATTATTTAAAAAAAAGAACCTACGATAAAAAATAATAATAATAATAATAATACATTTTATTTGAAAGCGCCTTATCACAACACCCAAGGACACTGTACAGGCAGATAAAAACATTAAAAACAGGGAGCTAAAAAGTACAAGCATAAGATGCCACAGAAAACAAAACAGCAGAAAGTAAAATAAAACCAAAGGAAGAAAAGGAAGAGAACAATATTGAAGTGATGCGTAGGAACTAGATGGGATAGGACTGTCTGAACAGGAAAGTTTTGAGTCTGGATTTGAAAAGAGGGAAGGAGTCCAGAGTACGGAGATCCGGAGGGAGGGAGTTCCAGAGGTGGGGAGCAGAGCGACTAAATGCCTGGTTCCCCATTGTGACCAGACGGGCCGAGGGAACGGAGAGCTGGAAGGAGTGGGAGGATCTTAGGGAGCGGGTGGGAGTTTTAACGTGAAGGAGATCTGAGATGTAAGATGGAGCCAAGCTGTGAAGGGCCTTGAAGGGAAAATGAGAGAACAGCAAAGTTACTTTAATCTTTTTCTGATTAAAGCTTTTTTCAAACTCCTATTTGGATTGCCTTTTTTTCATTTACAAAATGTGTTTGTGCTTGTAATAATGGGATGAAATTCCTCCATATCTGCTGAGCCTGATCAGGTCTGGATGCAGGCAGAACCTTATTCAGGCGTGCAGAAAATCCGGCTTGGATCATTAGATGGAGAAAGTTTGTGGGTATTTTTTTTTTTATTTGATAGTTTCCAATCATTTAGGTCGGCATATGCTCCAAAGATTTAAGATCAGATTGCCATACGCCTAAAAACAAATAAAATAAAAAAAGTATGTAATTAAATAGTTTTTTTTACAAAACTAAAGGGATAAATGGGTATTGACTATGGGTATGCTGGTCTGACCAGGTATGCTCATCTGATAGAACAGGCCTTCCTGTGAGGTTATGGATCAGCAGCTGCATGGACGTCTCTCTGGACTCTGGCTGCTTCGTTTTAGTCAGGAGGAATGGACTCTAGAAGCTGAGTGAACCGGTGCCATACCGGCATCCCACAGAACCGGCCTCAGTCGGACCTTTGATACCAGGACAGCCCCTGTCTGTCATTGGACAATTAAAGCTCCAAACTTCCCTGCAGACAGAAACCAGAATTTCTGGGATCTGCTGTAGGTTTCTTCCCTGGATGCCGGCGGTCCAAAATGAGGTCTGATGCTTTGATGGTCTCTGTTCTGGTTTCAACATGTCTGCTGTTGTGTGTGGATTGGTGAACTTTGACCCTAAATGAATAGAATGGAATGTAGTGCAGCCAGGAGCCTTAGGTCAGGCCTCAGTCCCTACATGGCACTCGATAGACCCGGTCCAGTTGGGTTTTAGAATAGCAGGAAATCCTGGAGAGTAAATAGGAACCTGAGCTTTGTTTTCCGCCAAACTTTGTGCTTCCTCATCAAACTGGGCTGATAACACTGACTGTCAGAGTGCTGACTCAGGAAACTAGAACACAGCATCTGTCCCAGAGTAAGGATGCAGCAGGGAAAAGGAACCAAAGGAGGAGCAAAAACTCATCTTCATTCAGAACATTGATCCAAAAACAACTGGTGTTACTTTGGTTCTGGGGGTGTTCTCTGCCAGGCTCAGAGCTGGACCTTTCCGGGGTTCTCCACACCTTTAACAACCAACAGCATCGTTTCCTCAGACTAGATGGACCACTGATCTCTATTTATTCACTGGATTACTGATTGCCTGTTGGTAGTATGGGGTTGAGGTGAAGCCAACGCCCGCCATATTGGTACTCCCTAGTTAGACCCGTCTCAATGTAAACAATACGTGCACTACAGCATCAAACAACGATGATGTTCTCATTTTCAGGGGGAATTAAAACTCTTAAAATAAAGCTAAATTCATCACTTTGTGACACACTGGCTGTTTCATAGCATCAGTAGATTCATTTAACCTAAGATTTTTTTTAAAAATAGGCACATCACATTGCATATTCATTATGAAGTCAATGAAGTCTATAAATCATGTAATATGACATATTATAAAAATCCATTACAACAAAATGAATGTGTTAATGGCGCATAATAATACAGATGTAGGAGATAAGCCTGTTTTTAAGTGTAGACCTGTTTCTCTGACTGTGACTAACTGGATGTGCTCTCTTCATCCTCTGACATGGGAGCTAGCTCGGAGCTCATCTGCCTGGCTGTGTGTTTCCTGGATGGGGCTGCCTTTTACAGTTGCTTTTTGTATCTCTGCTTCTGTCTCCTTGAACCCGCAGATGGCCGCTCACACTGAGCCTGGTTCTGCTGGAGGTTTCTCCTGTTAAAAGCTTTTAACTCTCCACTTTTTCTCTCCACTGTCGCTCCAAGCATGCTTAGTGTGAGCCATTGCCTTCGAGTTAATGCAATCAACTGGTTTTCCTTAGCCAGAAAACTTTGAATTAATCTAATTGCATGATCTGTTGAACTGTAAAGTGTCTTGAGATGACGTGTGTTGGCGCTATAGAAATAAACTGAATTGATGTGCCAAAAGTGCCAAATTGATGATGTATATGTAATACATGTATATATAAAATTGTTATGGTAATTACATATTACATATAATTTCAGGATTTCATATCAAGACTGAATTTCAAGTATTTGTCTGTTAATGCTAGAGTGTTTTCATATTTATTTCACAATTGTGCATGTTTGATGCCATATGCTTTAATGCTGTGTCTGTGCATCAGTCTTTAAAAATGTTTGAGTTGTTTTTTTCCCACCCAAAATATCATGCAATATACTTCAGCTCATGACTTCTCCAAATGAGAAATACAACAAACACTACAAAAACTACAGCGTCATCCATTTAAAGAAGAACTACTACATTGACATTTCACAGTGGATTACTTTCTATTTTCTAACATTATACACAAAGTCAGTGGCTAACTCAGTCAATATGTTTGAGTCAGTCTGAGATAGCCAGACTAATGTTACACCGGCATATATGTGGATTTTCTTGGTTAGTTCACCCACTGACTGTGAAATTACCTAGGAAACATCTTCCCACAGCCGACAAACTGCTTGTTTCTGCAGCCAAATGCTACACAGGTAGGCATTTTTACAGCGCAACTGAGGGCAGGTGTGGGGAGTACCAATATGGAAGCCGGTGGCTTCATTTTTTTCTGGCAATCAGCAATCCAGTGCATAAATAGAGGGCATTGAGATGGATGGAGAGCAGCTCCGCCTGCAGGCAGAAAAGGTGGACTGAACCTTCAGATAATCGCAGAACATCTTAGAACACACTGTGACGTTCTTTCCCTTTTCCATCACAACCGGCCTTTACCTCTGCAGCAGCTGGAGCTACTGGAGCTTATGATTCCGATGGATGCTGACCAAATGCTGAAGGTTTGGGCGGTCCTGACCCAGCCCAGTGACCTCTTTTGGGACCAGCAGCAGAGGAGATCTCTGAGGAATCTTCCCACAGGAACATCTGCAGCAGGTCCTGGGAGGCAGGAACGGTTCTGCTGGAGCGATCCAGCCACTCTACAGAGGACGCTGCTGTATTCAGTATCTGGTTCTTCCAGGTCCGATCCATATGTCAGGACTACAGGAGTTGAGGTAAATCCAGATCTTCATCCTTCTGCTCTACCACAGACTGCAGCTCTAAGGCACTAAGGTCCTGGAGACTTACCCTGACCGTGATCCAGGCTAAACCAACCGGGACAAACAACCCGACAGCAAGTTCTGGACATAAATAAAGTTTATTGACAAAAACAAATATTTATTTGCTTGTTCAGAGAAAAACCAGTGATTAGAAACGAGTTGGTTCAGAGCTGCAGCTCACATGGAGAACTTGATGAGCTGGAACCCATCCAGGCATTGTACCTTGATGTACTACTGTATAAAACCTTGAACTCAACACTATTTCTGACATTTTGAACTGAAAAAGCTTCCTGGATGGGAAGCTAAATGTCTTCAAACTTAGAAACAAAGTCCAGTGGATTGTTTTTTTTTTACTTTTTTTGGAATGACTATGACCTGGATGAATCTTAAATAGCATATTGGTCTCCATGCATGCAGAATCGGGTCGCACTAGCCCGGCCATCATGTACGTGAAAGATGCGTGAGGTTGGGATGAGGCTAAACATGGAGAAACTGGGTCCGATGCTGGATCCAAAGCCCCCTCAGCCCCAGCTGGTGGTTTAAGAGGGTCTCCCAGAGTTTTCACCGGTGTGGTTCTGTCAGCTCTACGTCATTAAATCACAGGTTCTACTATGCCAACATAAACTGGACTGTGTATTAGTATCCTAAGCACTTGTTATCGACAAGTACACAGCTGAAGATACTTTTACTGGTACTCTAAACCAAATGTTATTGGTAGATCACTGGTTCTACTCAAAGTCCTTGTTTGGTCTGCACAGGCGGCACAGAGAAGACCTGGAGGAGGTCCGAGTCCAGCCTTAAGGCTGCTTCCAGTCATGCAGCCTTTAAATGACCAGCAGCTGTTGGACCTGGATATTCACCCTGACCTGGCGGGAAGTCTCCGTCCATATGGGATCGTCTCTGCTTTACTCCCAGATGCCGAAGGTGTGACGTCCTTAACGGGCCTGGACCTATTTACAGGTGTGCATGTCGTTCATGCTCTCGCACCGCCTGCAGCGGACGAAGCAGCACCAAACAAACTTGCACTCGCAGCGTTCAATGTTCCTCACCACGTGAGTGTTGTAGCCTCTGCCGCAGCAGAGCAGGTTACAGCCGTCCGGCCCGGAGGACGCCCTGTTGCAGCGGCGCCCCCTGGTGCCAGCGATGCCCCGCCGTTTGTCCTCCAGGCAGTAGTTCGGAGACTTGTTCAGGTAGATGAGTTGGTGTTTGTTGAGCGGACGGCGTTGGTCCTTTTTCCTTATCTTCTTCCTGGAGCGGTTCGACATCTGGATGCTCTGCTCGTATCGCTCCTTCAGGTAAGAGCCGACGCGTCTGAACGGCGCCATTGACCTCCAACAGGTCTTCACGCCGCAGGAACCAGAAATGCCGTGACAGCGACACTCTGTGGACATGGTCCTCTCGATGGCCTGCAGGGAAAAACAATGACTGAGCTGAGAGATGGATCCAGGTGGGGCAACATACAGCGAGCTGTCAGAACCAAACCCAAACTGGTTTAGAGGGTCTGGAAGGAGTTCTACCAACATCTACTCAGAGGTCGACTTCTTATCCTGAAGATTTTGGTCACTTTAAGTAAACTTTAACATTTGAAAACAGTGTAAAATTTAGAAAATGTGGGATTTGAATTCTCAAGTCGTTAAGATCTTGACCCACTGTGGTGGAACAGAACCTTGCCGCACCCTCCTCACTTTGACCAGTGTTCCCAGCAGAGAGGGAACCGACCTGTCGAGTCTACTTGGGTCAGGTCTATGATGTCCTCACCTGTCGGCCGGCTTCACTGTTGTGCTGGTTCATGGTGCTCAGCGTGTAACTGGTCAGGCTCGACAGGTTCTTAACAGAGTGCTCCATGAACTTGCGGCTGAACCAGGTTCCAAACTGGATGTTGTCCGAGCAGCCCCCCCACTGCCACGCTTCGGCTGCCGTCTCGCCCCCACCGCTGCCTCGCAGGTGAGCGTCACAGCCGCACACCGTCATGTTGCCCTGGCTGCAGGAGCGGGTGATGGAGTGAACCAGGCCTGCCGCCATCACGGCGTAGATGAACGCCGTCTCTTTGGTTCCTGTTGGGTGCAGAGAGAAACCTGCAGTGAAAACACTTCCTTTGCATTATTAGCTGCTGACATGGACTTGGAGGGAGGGTTAGGGTCCATCCAACCCTTACAGTTGAACCTTTAACAACATGCAGTTATTTTGTTTGGCCACTTGGGGGCAGACTTGGATCAGTTTTCAGCCACTCATCCTTCAGCAGTGGCCTTGATATTAAATTTTGTCCCTTTGTCAGAGCAGATCCTCTGAAACCTGACCTAACCAATGATCGCTATTTATTCAATGGAATGCTGATAGCCCATTGGTAGAACGGGGTGGAGTGACGCCACCGGCAATCTAAACATTACGTGCGCTACAGCATCGAACAACGATGGTGTTCTCATTTTCAGGGGGACTTAAGACTTTTAAAATGAAGATAAATTCATCACTTTGACACACTGGCTGTTTGATAGCATCAGTAGATTACTTTAACTTCACATTGCATAGTCAGGATGAAGTCAATGAAGTCTAGAAATATATATATATATATATATATATATATATATATATATATATATATATATATATATATATATATATATATATATATATATATATATATATATAGGGGTCAAATATTTGAGTTGCTTTTTTTTCGTCAGTATTAGATTAAATATATTTCAGCACATTACTTTTTCAAATGAGAAATACAACAAACACTACAAAAATAACAGCATTATCCACTTAATAAAGAATTACTACATTGACATTTTACAGTGAATTACTTTCTATTTACTCTCTATTTTCTAACGTTGGACATAATGTCGATGGCTAACTCAGTCAATATCTTCCAGTCAGTCAGAGATAGCCAGACTAATGTTACGCTACACACTATACTATAGATACATCGGTGTATATGTGGATTTTCTTGGTTAGTTCATCCACTGACTGTGAAATTACCTGTGAAACATCTTCCCACAGCCGACTAACTGCTTGTTTCTGCAGCCAAATGCTACACAGGTAGGCCATTTAGCGGGGAGTACCAACAGTGGCGTTGGATGTAGGAGTTTGCCCTGAAATCGAAGGGTTGACTGTTCAAGCCCAGACTCCGACTTTCATTGTCGTTGTGTCCTTGGGCAAGACACTTCACCTGCATTGTCTACTGATGGTGGTCAGAGGGCCTGGTGGCGCCAGTGTACGGCAGCCCTGCTTCTGTCAGTGAGCCCCAGGGCAGCTGTGGCTACAATGTAGCTTGCCATCATCAGTGTGTGAGTGTGTGAGTGAATGGGTGAATTAATGTAGTGTAAAGCGCTTTGGTCAAGTCTCCTGACTTGGATAAAGGCGCTATATAAGTACATGCCATTTACCATTTTCCAATATGTCATTTCTTTGGGGGCAATCAGCAATCGAGTGAATACATAAGAATCAGCGGACCCCCCCCCCCCGAAATAAGGTGGTATTCTGGGAGTCAGAGTCTTTCTCAGGGACCCAAACAAACAATCTTGGCTCTGAATCCTTCAACCTCTCCAGGCCCAAACGCCTGGCTCTCTGCACACCAACCCATCTGAAAAATCAACCAAACTACCATAGAACATAGAGCAGCGGAACCACAGTCGGAGATACGAATCTGACCCTGCACTCTTTCCTGAAAACACAAAATCTGTTATTTCAGGACTGCAAGTTAGTTTGGAGAAGCTTTAACTGATGGGTCGCAGATTAGCATCACATGACTGGATTACAATGGGATATTAGGCTAATTTTAATCTGAAGTCAGATTCAAATAAACTTTAACCTGAAGTCATATTGAAATTAAACTTAAATCTGAACTTTAATCTAAACTTTATAGTTAGAATAAAATTAGACTTTAATCTAAAATCTGATTCAAATTTGACTAATCTGAAGTCAGCAAAATTTTATTTCAATTCAAAGTAAGATTTAAATCAAATTTCAACTTTAAATGAGACACAAATTAAACAAGAATCTAAAATTAAAACAAACTTTAATCTGAATTCAGATTCAAATTAAACTTTGTCTTCAACATTCAATCTAGAACTAAGTATCCTAAAGGTCCACATTGTTTGCAGTGTCATAAGTTCTGGTACCAAACTTACGGCTCTGGAAGCAAACCCACACATCCAGTCAGAGGAAAAGTAAATGCATCCATTAACCAGCAGATGTAGAAACACCTTTTCATCACCTAGATTCTTCTCTTTTTTCAGCCTCTCTAGATACGGTTCTGTGTTTTTGGGACAAAGTTTGGACCAAGCTGCAGATGGACTCACATTTCAGCCCTAAACATGCTGTCCTAAAGAGGAGCTGGGGCTCCACTTAGCGGCTGCCCAGATCCCCATTCCTCCACCACCGTGCTCGGCCAGGTGTGATGTTGGGTTTGGTTCTGTGCTGGTCACCAGTCAGCATAGGCGTTTTTAGACCATATTTGGGGGTGCTGACTCTTAAATCGAATCAGAGCACCTCTAAAATATAGTTTGTTTGTTTTTTTATATTGTATAAGCTTTTTAAATTGAAAAAAGTAAAACAAAAACATACTTGATTTAGAACAGTCTAAAAACAATAAAGTACTTGGATAAAAAAAAAATATATATATATATATATATATATATATATATATATATATATATATATATATATATATATATATATATGTATATATATATATTTTTTTTTTTTTTTTTTTTTTTTTTATTAAATTAAAATTGTGCCATTAATTTTCAATGAGGGTTCAATACAAATAATAATAATAATAATAAACAAACAAACAAAAAAGCAGGTAAACCAGCACGATGGAGCTCCTAAACAAAGATTCTGAGCAACACTTTGAGGGAATCACTGCAATCAGATGTTTTCTTAAATATTCAGTCAGATTTCTGCCTCTTGTTTCTTGGTGAAATGTTCAGGATCAAGGGGCTCTATTGTGTCTTGGACTGTTTTTTTAAATCATTATTATTTTTTAAATCACAATTCAAAATCAATATTTAAATCTATCAAATCATAATTTTGTATGTTTTTATTTATATATATATATATATACATATATATATATATATATTTTTTTTATTTATTTTTTATTTTTTTCAGTTTCTTGTTATTAGAATTGTGACTTTATCCTTTTCTTTATAGGGACTGTGTCTAATCTTTAAGCACAATTGTATATATTTATCTTGTTAAATATAATCCATTTTAGGATACAAGGATAAGGAGAGGAGCAAGGTGTAAGGCGAGGAAAAGCCAGGTAAGTTTCGCTACAGCCCGTCCAAGAAGACAAAAATATAGGAAGACAAAGCACAAAAGTCCCAGATACGATGTGTTGGTGAATGATAGAGTCAGTTATTGGCAAAAAGCACTGAGCACATTTCAAAAATGTAAAAAATGTAAGTAGAAAACAGTGAAATGTATCTTTTTCCGGGCGGCTCAGCACGCCCTAAACCTCTGATCCTAGAATGCTGCAGAATATTTTTTTTGTCGTATTGTCGTTTGTCATCAGATCACTGGAGGAGATCCTGGTCTGGTATGAACTACATGGGCCGCTCTGGCATTCCTATAAATATACTGGTGTGATAACTAAGTAAACATTTGATTGGTTTTTACTATACGTCTATTTTAAATTTATAGCCCCTCCTGAAGAAAACTCCACCTGCTGCCACTGGCCGAGACGCTACCGTTTACCAGTAAAAAAATGAACTTACAGCTCTGCCATCTTTCTGGCCATGATATACACCTCATAGGATCATCACCATCACACCATCATAGGATGGGCCCAAACACAAATGATAAACACAGACATGCATGAATGTTTTTTTGTTTTTTCTTTTACAGTTGCATATTTCAAGTTTTCAGTTTTCCAGTTCAAGTTTGCTGACAGATATTTATCAAAGATAAATAGTTCCTTTATCAGTAGTAGATTAGAGATGTACAGTTAAGTTCACAAGTGGGCCATTTCAATTCAGTTTGGTTCAGGTAGATATTTAATGATGCAGAAAATAACATCTGATTGTACAATTTATTTATGACAATTTAGCATAATAAATAAGTGCTGTTAATAATTTTTTCACATGCTTGCATTAATTATCTGTGCCCATGCTTTTTTAAAATAAATAATTGCTCCAAAATTATTTTGCTTGCATGCAATGGCGCTCACTTTTGTTTTTGTTTTTTGTGTGCTCTATTGTGTCGCTGTATAGTATTGGGTCAGCTGAAGCCCCTGCCTCCTTTTCAAACTTCAGGATCTGACCTAGCATGTATAAATACAGGTAGGACTAATTAAAAGCACTTTTTAGAAAAGGCAAAGAAGAATATATACACATAGTTATATATATATATATATATATATATATATATATATATATATATATATATATATATATATATATATATATATATATATACAGGTGCTGGTCATAAAATTAGAATATCATGAAAAAGTAGATTGATTTCAGTAATTCCATTTAAAAAGTGAAACTTGTATATTATATTCATACATTACATACAAACTCATATATTTCAGATGTTTATTTTGTTTAATTTTGATGATTACAAATGACAACAAATGAAAATCTCAAATTCATCATATCAGAAAATTAGAATATTACTGAAGACCAATAAAAACAAAGGATTTATAGAAATGTTGGCCAACTGAAAAGTATGAACATGAAAAGTATGAGCATGTACAGCACTCAGTATTTAGTTGGGCCTCCTTTGGCCTGTATTACTGCAGCAATGCGGCGTGGCATGGAGTCGATCAGTCTGTGGCACTGCTCAGATGTTATGATAGCCCAGGTTGCTCTAATAGTGGCTTTTAGCTCTTCTGAATTGTTGGGTCTGGTGTATTGCATCTTCTTCTTCACAATACCCCATAGATTTTCTATGGGGTTAAGGTCAGGAGAGTTTGCTGGCCAATTAAGAACAGGGATACCATGGTCCTTCAACCAGGTACTGGTAGCTTTGGCACTGTGTGCAGGTGCCAAGTCCTGTTGGAAAATGAAATCTGCATCTCCAAAAAGTTGGTCAGCTGCAGGAAGCATGAAGTGCTCTAAAACTTCCTGGTATGTGGCTGCGTTGACCCTGGACCTCAGAAAACACAATGGACCAACACCAGCAGATGACATGGCACCCCAAACCATCACTGACTGTGGAAACTTTACACTGGACTTCAAGCAACGTGGATGAAGTGCCTCTCTTCTTTTCCTCCAGACTCTGGGACCTTGATTTCCAAAGGAAATGCAAAATTTACTTTCATCAGAGAACATGACTTTGGACCACTCACCAGCAGTCCAGTCCTGTTTCTCTTTAGCCCAGGCAAGACGCTTCTGACGCTGTCTGTGGTTCAAGAGTGGCTTGACACAAGGAATGCGACAGCAGAAACCCATGTCTTTCATACGTCTGTGTGTGGTGGTTCTTGAAGCACTCACTCCAGCTGCAGTCCACTCTTTGTGAATCTCCCCCACATTTTTGAATGGGTTTTGTTTCACAATCCTCTCCAGGGTGCGGTTATCTCTCTTGCTTGTACACTTTTTTCGACCACATCTTTTCCTTCCCTTCGCCTCTCTATTAATGTGCTTGGACACTGAGCTCTGTGAACAGCCAGCCTCTTTAGCGATGACCTTTTGTGTCTTGCCCTCCTTGTGCAAGGTGTCGATGGTCGTCTTTTGGACAACTGTCAAGTCAGCAGTCTTCCCCATGATTGTGTAGCCTATAGAACTAGACTGAAAGACCATTTAAAGGCTTTTGCAGGTGGTTTGAGTTAATTAGCTGATTAGAGTGTGGCACCAGGGGCCATCAATTTTGAACCTTTTCACAATATTCTAATTTTCTGATATGATGAATTTGAGATTTTCATTTGTTGTCATTTGTAATCATCAAAATTAAACAAAATAAACATCTGAAATATATGAGTTTGTATGTAATGTATGAATATAATATACAAGTTTCACTTTTTAAATGGAATTACTGAAATCAATCTACTTTTTCATGATATTCTAATTTTATGACCAGCACCTGTATATATAATTTTTTTATTCCAAAGAAATTAAAAACAATCCACCGGACTTTGTTTCCAAGTTTGAAGACATCTCGCTTCCCCCATCCAGGATGTTTTTTCAATTCAAAATGTCAGGAATAGCATTGAGTTCGAGGCTTTATACAGTGAAACCTTGTTTCCATGTTTTTAAAACAAAAACAACCCTTGGGTTAAAAAAATGTTTAAAAAAATATGAAAGCTTCTCCCTTATGAAACTGGTACATAATTTTTTTTAAGGCTTGTGACACAATATTGGAGCATGCAAAACACAGATCTCCCTTCACAAAGCCTCAGGAGGGCAAGATTTATTTACAAAAATAAATAATACTGTTCATGAATTTGTGGTTTATTTTTATAAAGTGCTTTTAATTATTTTTTTGTTGGCATTACTATAAATATACTGGTTTTAAAACTTATTTGATTTATTTTTGGTATAGTCTAATTTGAATCTTATAGCCCCCCCCTGGAGAAAACTCAACAAGCAGCTACTGGTTCTGATGCCATTTTAGCGAAAGGATTTTTATCAAAAATATAATTAATGTGCACAAATAAGGAATAGTTGTATTAACCATAGGCCTACATGTAAACAGAGTTTTATGTGCCCCCCAGGGGCCCTAGGCAACTGCCTAGTATTGCCTGATGGTAGATCCGGCCCTGTGTGTCACATAAATTGGACCTTCCATCAGAACCTTTCAATCCAGACTAAAATCTGCACATCTTAAATGAGCAGAATGAGTTTAGAAGGTGCGTGGGTCACTGTTGAATAACTCACCGCTCGTCAGTTCGTAGCCGAACACGGCCGTGGGCTCCCGGGTCGTGGAGCAGTTCCAGCGCTCCCGGCGGAACTGGTTCTGACACTCTGATACCGCCAGCTGGGCTCCGTCCCGGACGCTGGGCAGCAGGAAGGGCTTCCTGCGGCACAGCTCCCGCTGCCGGGCGCTCAGCACCGGGTCACCGCAGGACAGCTGCTCCGGGTCATCCGGAGGGGTCACACCCAGCCACCTGTGGAAGGCAGCGGCTGCAGTTAGCGCACACATCCCGGAGGAACCAGCAGAGCCGGGACATGAACTGAAACCAGAACCACAGCTGATGAACCGAATTTCTCAAGAGTTTCTAAACAGTCCCACCAATAAAAGACCCAAATTATTTAATGGATCCTTCTGATTAAATCCAGGAACTAATTAGAACCGGTTCCGGAAAAGGTGAATACTTCCAATGAAATTGCAGGTTCGGATTATTTGGGTCAGAACCATCAGAGAACATCACATTAATCTGCTTAATCTGGTTTAAAGGTTCTGAACTGTTCGGTGATTAAACTCTATTTTGGATCCAGACTGTAAATAAATTCCACATTCTGGATCACTTAGAGCTGATAAAGTGGCTGCAGGATGGTTCCGTTTAAACGGAACCGATCGGAGTTCTGATGCGTTCCGGATCCTACCTGAACAGGTGGGATCAGAACCTTTATGATCTGATTTCCCAGCAGGTCGGATCAATCCGGACCTCAGCAGAATTCGGTTCTGAAGAGACAAGTTGGAGGTTCCACAGTTCTGCGTTTGGTTCCTGATGTCAAAATGGGCTTTGCCGGACCGGTACCGGTACTCACATCCAGTTGGCCCTGCAGCACAGCGGGCAGACCGACACCAGCAGCAGCGTCAGGGCGCACATGGGTCGGACTCCAGAACTCCGGGGCTCCATCAGAACTCCTGGGATCCGCGGATCATCCTGGAAGCTGCAGGAAATCCGGTCCCGGTCCGCAAAGATCCCGATGCTCCACAAGTCGCTCCCCTCTGCAGGTCCAGCTGCGGCGAACCGGACCCAGTCCCAGTCCGGCCGATCCTGATTGGCCCAGCTCACCGAGGTGACGTCAGAGGCTGATCGTGATGCGCTGCTGAGCAAACAGTGCGCGCGCGCCAGTGAGAACGGAGGTTCTGTTCATCACACCGACCCAAAGCCAGAAGAACCGGGTCTGATCTATCCAGGATCCAGATAGTTCTGAAGAATGAACCCTAAAAACGAGACAAACCAGGAGGTTCTAACCTGGAAATAGCGTCTAGGGCCAAAGCACACAGAAGTGCTGCTGTGTTTCTGCCTTCTGGTTCTGTTGGAGGGTTTCCTCTCTGCTGTAACTACATGTCTCCCCAGAACCTGATCCAATCAGCCCGGTTTCCTTAGATGGAAACTATTTAAACTACATTTAACAAACAGAACCTGATTGGAACAGAACTCTAACCCCCGAAATGAACTGGACCTATTTGTCTTTAGACAACTGTGGTGGATCAGAACCAAGTGATACACTGGAATCAGGAAGAAAAGGACTCCGGAAATCTGAATAAAACTTTATTTAAAACAGGAGCTCAGAACCAATCTGAGAAATTCTGTAGAAAAATAGACAATTATATACAATCAGAACAACCAGACAACCGACCCATTCACAATCAGAACCATCAGACAACCGACCCATTCACAATCACAACCATCACACAACCGACCCATTCACAATCACAACCATCACACAACCGACCCATTCACAATCACAACCATCAGACAACCGACCCATTCACAATCACAACCATCACACAACCGACCCATTCACAATCACAACCATCACACAACCGACCCATTCACAATCACAACCATCAGACAACCGACCCATTCACAATCACAACCATCACACAACCGACCCATTCACAATCACAACCATCAGACAACCGACCCATTCACAATCACAACCATCACACAACCGACCCATTCACAATCACAACCATCACACAACCGACCCATTCACAATCAGAACCATCAGACAACCGACCCATTCACAATCACAACCATCACACAACCGACCCATTCACAATCAGAACCACCAGACAACCGACCCATTCACAATCAGAACCACCACACAACCGACCCATTCACAATCAGAACCATCACACAACCTACCCATTCACAATCACAACCATCACACAACCGACCCATTCACAATCACAACCATCACATAACCGACCCATTCGCAATCAGAACCATCACACAACCGACCCATTCGCAATCAAAACCATCACACAACCGACCCATTCACAATCACAACCATCACACAACCGACCCATTCACAATCAGAACCACCAGACAACCGACCCATTCACAATCAAAACCATCACACAACCGACCCATTCACAATCAGAACACCTAGACAACAGACCCATTCACAATCAGAACCAACACAACGACCATCACATCAGAACACCAGACAACCGACCCATTCACAATCAGAACCATCACACAACCGACCCATTCACAATCAGAACCATCACACAACCGACCCATTCACAATCAGAACCACCAGACAACCGACCCATTCACAATCAGAACCACCACACAACCGACCCATTCACAATCACAACCATCACACAACCGACCCATTCACAATCAGAACCACCAGACAACCGACCCATTCACAATCAGAACCACCACACAACCGACCCATTCGCAATCACAACCATCACATAACCAACCCATTCGCAATCAGAACCATCACACAACTGACCCATTCGCAATCACAACCATCACACAACCGACCCATTCACAATCACAACCATCACACAACCGACCCATTCACAATCAGAACCATCACACAACCTGACCCATTCACAATCAGAACCATCACACAACCGACCCATTCACAATCAGAAACCATCACACAACCGACCCATTCACAATCAAAACCATCACACAACCGACCCATTCAAAATCACAACCACCACACAACCGACCCATTCACAATCACAACCATCACATAACCGACCCATTCACAATCAAAACCATCACACAACCGACCCATTCACAATCACAACCACCACACAACCGACCCATTCACAATCAGAACCATCACACAACCGACCCATTCACAATCACAACCACCACACAACCGACCCATTCACAATCAGAACCATCACACAACTGACCCATTCACAGTCACAACCACCACACAACCGACCCATTCACAGTCACAACCACCACACAACCGACCCATTCACAATCAGAACCATCACACAACTGACCCATTCACAATCAGAACCATCACACAACCGACCCATTCACAATCAAAACCATCACACAACTGACCCATTCAAAATCATAACCACCACACAACCGACCCATACACAATCAGAACCACCAGACAACCGACCCATTCACAATCAGAACCACCACACAACCGACCCATTCACAATCACAACCATCACACAACCGACCCATTCACAATCAGAACCACCAGACAACCGACCCATTCACAATCAGAACCACCACACAACCGACCCATTCGCAATCACAACCATCACATAACCGACCCATTCGCAATCAGAACCATCACACAACCGACCCATTCGCAAATACAACCATCACACAACCGACCCATTCACAATCACAACCATCACACAACCGACCCATTCACAATCACAACCATCACACAACCGACCCATTCACAATCAGAACCATCACACAACTGACCCATTCACAATCAGAACCATCCCACACCCGACCCATTCACAATCAGAACCATCACACAACCAACCCATTCACAATCAAAACCATCACACAACCGACCCATTCAAAATCACAACCACCACACAACCGACCCATTCACAATCACAACCATCACATAACCGACCCATTCACAATCAAAACCATCACACAACCGACCCATTCAAAATCACAACCACCACACAACCGACCCATTCACAATCAGAACCATCACACAACCGACCCATTCGCAATCACAACCATCACACAACGACCCATTCACAATCACAACCATCACACAACCGACCCATTCACAATCAGAACCATCACACGACTGACCCATTCACAATCAGAACCATCACACACCCGACCCATTCACAATCAGAAACCATCACACAACCGACCCATTCACAATCAAAACCATCACACAACCGACCCATTCAAAATCACAACCACCACACAACCGACCCATTCACAATCACAACCATCACATAACCGACCCATTCACAATCAAAACCATCACACAACCGACCCATTCAAAATCACAACCACCACACAACCGACCCATTCACAATCAGAACCATCACACAACCGACCCATTCACAATCACAACCACCACACAACCGACCCATTCACAATCAGAACCATCACACAACTGACCCATTCACAGTCACAACCACCACACAACCGACCCATTCACAGTCACAACCACCACACAACCGACCCATTCACAATCAGAACCATCACACAACTGACCCATTCACAATCAGAACCACCACACAACCGACCCATTCACAATCAAAACCATCACACAACTGACCCATTCAAAATCACAACCACCACACAACCGACCCATCCACAATCAGAACCACCAGACAACCGACCCATTCACAATCAGAACCACCACACAACCGACCCATTCACAATCACAACCATCACACAACCGACCCATTCACAATCAGAACCACCAGACAACCGACCCATTCACAATCAGAACCACCACACAACCGACCCATTCGCAATCACAACCATCACATAACCGACCCATTCGCAATCAGAACCATCACACAACCGACCCATTCGCAAATACAACCATCACACAACCGACCCATTCACAATCACAACCATCACACAACCGACCCATTCACAATCACAACCATCACACAACCGACCCATTCACAATCAGAACCATCACACAACTGACCCATTCACAATCAGAACCATCACACACCCGACCCATTCACAATCAGAAACCATCACACAACCAACCCATTCACAATCAAAACCATCACACAACCGACCCATTCAAAATCACAACCACCACACAACCGACCCATTCACAATCACAACCATCACATAACCGACCCATTCACAATCAAAACCATCACACAACCGACCCATTCAAAATCACAACCACCACACAACCGACTCATTCACAATCAGAACCATCACACAACCGACCCATTCGCAATCACAACCATCACACAACCGACCCATTCACAATCACAACCATCACACAACCGACCCATTCACAATCAGAACCATCACACAACTGACCCATTCACAATCAGAACCATCACACACCCGACCCATTCACAATCAGAAACCATCACACAACCGACCCATTCACAATCAAAACCATCACACAACCGACCCATTCAAAATCACAACCACCACACAACCGACCCATCCACAATCAGAACCACCAGACAACCGACCCATTCACAATCAGAACCATCACACACCCGACCCATTCACAGTCAGAAACCATCACACAACCGACCCATTCACAATCACAACCATCACATAACCGACCCATTCACAATCACAACCATCACATAACCGACCCGTTCACAATCAAAACCATCACACAACCGACCCATTCAAAATCACAACCACCACACAACCGACCCATTCACAATCACAACCATCACACAACCGACCCATTCACAATCACAACCACCACACAACCGACCCATTCACAATCAGAACCATCACACAACTGACCCATTCACAGTCACAACCACCACACAACCGACCCATTCACAGTCACAACCACCACACAACCGACCCATTCACAATCAGAACCATCACACAACTGACCCATTCACAATCAGAACCATCACACAACCGACCCATTCACAATCAAAACCATCACACAACTGACCCATTCAAAATCACAACCACCACACAACCGACCCATCCACAATCAGAACCACCAGACAACCGACCCATTCACAATCAGAACCACCACACAACCGACCCATTCACAATCACAACCATCACACAACCGACCCATTCACAATCAGAACCACCAGACAACCGACCCATTCACAATCAGAACCACCACACAACCGACCCATTCGCAATCACAACCATAACATAACCGACCCATTCGCAATCAGAACCATCACACAACCGACCCATTCGCAAATACAACCATCACACAACCGACCCATTCACAATCACAACCATCACACAACCGACCCATTCGCAAATACAACCATCACACAACCGACCCATTCACAATCACAACCATCACACAACCGACCCATTCACAATCAGAACCATCACACAACTGACCCATTCACAATCAGAACCATCACACACCCGACCCATTCACAATCAGAAACCATCACACAACCAACCCATTCACAATCAAAACCATCACACAACCGACCCATTCAAAATCACAACCACCACACAACCGACCCATTCACAATCACAACCATCACATAACCGACCCATTCACAATCAAAACCATCACACAACCGACCCATTCACAATCACAACCACCACACAACCGACCCATTCACAATCAGAACCATCACACAACTGACCCATTCACAGTCACAACCACCACACAACCGACCCATTCACAATCAGAACCATCACACAACTGACCCATTCACAATCAGAACCATCACACAACCGACCCATTCACAATCAAAACCATCACACAACTGACCCATTCAAAATCACAACCACCACACAACCGACCCATCCACAATCAGAACCACCAGACAACCGACCCATCCACAATCAGAACCACTAGACAATCGACCCATTCACAATCAGAACCACCAGACAACCGACACATTCACAATCAGAACCATCACACAACCGACCCATCCACAATCAGAACCACTAAGCAACCGACCCATTCACAATCAGAACCACCAGACAACCGACCCATCCACAATCAGAACCACCAGACAACCGACCCATTCACAATCAGAACCACCAGACAACCGACCCATCCTCAATCAGGACCACCAGACAACCGACCCATTCACAATCAGAACCATCAGACAACCAAATATCAAAACCATCATACATCTGATCCATCCAGACCTCCCTGGTTAAATATGAAACCATGAAAATTGTCACTTCAGGAATCCTCAGGAGCTGGCTGGAATTGGACCACCGGTTCCAGTCTTTGAAATCTCTGATGGCGCCTCATGAAATCAGAGAGCATGATGGGGGCTGGAAACCAGAGGTGGACTGAACCAGAGGGAGTTCTGATGCAGAACCAGGCCATCAAAACCGTCATCACTGAGTTCTGTTGGAAAGTAGTTAGACCCAGTAAACAGTAGCTGGTTCTCAGTAAGCAGTGAGGTTCTGGTCGAGTTCTGGACGGATTTAAATGGACAACAGAAATCAAAGATAGGCAGGAATTTTTTTCAGATATAAATGTATGTAAAAAATCTCTGAATTCTGGAAATCCGTTCGGTTCTGGATCTCTGTAAACTGGAGTTTATGATCTTCCCTGTCTGGATTACAACCTCACAATACCAAAGTGATTATATTAACAGATTCTGAAACCGATTTGATCCAAACCCGGAGATCTTTCCTCCCGGTTCTGTTGTGAATTAAATGTTTGAACCCGGCCGTCTGAGATGTTCCTCTCAGTTGGCATGGGACCGGTGGCAGAACCATCACACAGATTTCTGCTGGATGGAAAAACTGTCTCCAGGAAACAGGGAATCTAAACTTGGATGTGGAGGCGGAGAAAAAAGGATCTTGAAATGCTTACTGCGAACATTTAGGGAATAAAGAACCTTTCCGATTGGTTCCGATGCTGGAACAACAAATATCGCTTTTGTGTGAATTTTGCTTTTGAAGGAAAACATCTTGGGGTTGATGGGAACAGTGAGAAGGTTTAGGAATTTTCTGCAGGTGTCTGAAAACTGGAGCAGCTTTTTGGAGAAAACTTTGACAGAAGAAAACCTTTAAGGAACAATAAAAGTTTCTCATTGGAAAACAGGAATGTTCATGCTGGAATCTCCAAGAACTTTCTTGGGGAAAGTCCTGATAGGAAACGTTAAGCCATTTAGGAAATAAGGGAAACTTTTGGGAATATGAAACTTCCCATAAGTCAGTTTTAGATCTTCTGAGGATCTTGGAATATTTGGATTTGCTCAGATTTTTATAAAAATCAGTTTCTAGGATCAGATCTTCCCAATCAAACCAAAGCCTTTTCCAGATTGTCATCTCTTCCATGTCTCTTCCTGGGAAGGTCAGAGAACTGAACAATGACTTGGCAGAACTCTACGGACCCAGAGGAGAAGGCTGAGTCTCTTTGGATCTGGGACACAGGCGGCTCAGCAGGATCTCGGAATACACCTGGTTTATTTCTCCCCTAACGTGATAGGTTGATCCCACTTCCTGCTCCACGTCCAGCACAGCTGATTGGCTGTCGGGTTCAGGTCCAGCTCGGATGGTTCTGGTCATTTTTCTGGTGGATTCCAAGTTGTCTCTGGGTTTGGAGGACTGGATCTTCTCAACCTGAGGGAAGAAAAGGTTTGAGGAAGTGAATCAGGTGGAGATAATGAACTGGGATCTGGAAAAGTTCTGGTTCTTCTTCAAAGAACAGAAAATCTCTCCTTTTATTTAAGCCAGAGCTTCAAGCTGGGAGCTTTAAATGTTCTTTTAAAAAGCAGGAAGTCAGAAAAAGGTTGGAAGTTGTAGATTTGTTGGGAACGTTCTGGTTTGAGAACTTGGACCTTTAGCCAGTGAACAGATTTCCTCTTTTAGAAACTGTTCTTTGGGTTTAACAGAGGAATCTCTGGGAACGCATCAAGTTGTGGACCCTGAAGGTTCCTTTTAAAAAGGGAATTCATACAAACTTCTGAATAATTTTCTTGGACTAAAAAAAAATTTTTTGAACTAAATATAAAAAGTTTCTTTCTTATGAGAACTTGACTTTCTAGCTTGTTCTAGATCTAGAACAATGATCTGGGAGACTTAATCTTCCCTCAGGGTTCTAAAGCTTTTTGGAGAGGAACCCCTTCATAACCACCCAGAAGAAGAACCTTGTGGAACAGTAGGAGAACTTGGTTTACCTCGTGGAAGTGGCAGGCGCAGCGTCCCTGAAGGAACTCTTTGTATCGCCCCATGGTGATGCTGAAGGTGTCGATCACCTCGTATCCTAGATGTTTTGCTGTGGAGATGATGTCTCGGTTCTCATTGAACAGGTTTTGTATCTCCGCCTGGAACCATGGAAGCCCATCAGGGAATTTTAAGGAGATGTTTGCTTACTGGAGGAAACACAGACCTACCAGACTCAGGGACCTGATGCCGTCCACAGGAAGGTGGAAGCCCATCCCCAACGACTTCACCACCACCAGGATCTCACTGAGAGACTCCCTGGTGATCAGAGGGACAAAGAGAACAGAGAAAAAGAGTAAAAGATCTAAAAAAAACTCCAAGAGGAGTTCCTCAGGGATGACTTAGGAGCTCTTCTGTTTGATTCTAGTTGGATGGAAACACCTGCTTCTTGTGCTTCTAGGGTTTGTTCCTACCTGTCAAGCACCTCCTGGACCATCTTCAGGTGGTTGGTGTTGAGCCACTGGACTCCTCCCAGCACAAGCACTGTCTGGTTGGAGTTTTCTAATGGTCGGGACCTTTACAGGGTGTTAATAGTTCATTGTTTCAGTTTGATTCTCTAACAAAGTCTAACGGAGGAGATGAAGCTCACCTGTTCAGGAGCTGCACCAACGCCTCCCTGAAAGTTGGCCTCAGGTTCTTCTCCAGCCAGAACTGAGGATAATAGGAGTAGCTGACCTGAGTCCGCCCTTGGTTGAGGTTCTGATAGAGGAGCGTATCGTGAGCTTTTCCCCAGTCATCTAGGCTGGAGTTGACCCGCTCCATCAGGAAGTACATCATGCCTCGATTGGTGGAGTCCCCGACGAACAGCAGCTGAGGAAGAGACGATTCCTGTGAGCCAATCAGCTTAAAGTCGTGAAGGCGACATGAGGTTTGGTCACATGACTTCACCTTCCTGTCCATCATGCAGTCCTGCAGCAGGGGGCGCTCCACCAGCGGGTGATAACAGCCGTCCGGTTGCCAGGTAACCTCTCTCCAATCACATGTTCTGTTGTCGGAGCAGCTGAGACACGGAACAACCCACCGACCTGAAGGACGGATAAGAACCAGATATCAGACCCACCTGGACTGTTCCTGAGTCAGAGCCGCTACACTTTACATGATGATGATGGGTGACCCTTTTCCTGACTCAGACATGTCATCTGATGGTTGATATGGAGAACCCCCCTCCCTTTTTGCTGTAGTTCTACAACACAGAGTTTTAGAGAACACCACGCTCTTAATGGTCCAACAGTTTGTTGACAGAGAACTACCATTCTAGTTTCTCTAAAAGTAGTTTCATCTGGTCTGTTCCTGTTTGGCTGTGACTCCATCCTGGAAAGAAATATTAGATGTGCTGCTGCCATCAACACCTTTGTTAATAGATGTTGGAGATCGGTCTGTTTTTCAGTGTAGTCCTGTTTCTCTGAATGTGACTAACTATATGTATCTCTGCTTCTGTCTCCTTGAACCCCAGTCGGCCTCAGCAGATGGCCGCTGACACTGAGCCTGGTTCTGCTGGAGGTTTCTTCCTGTTAAAAGGGAGTTTTTCCTCTCCACTGTCGCTACAAGCATGCTTAGTATGAGGGATTGGTGAAGAGCTAATGAGTCGATGCAATCAACTGGTTTTCCTTAGATAGAAAACTTTGAATCAATCTGACTGGATGATCTGGTGAACTGTAAAGTGTCTTGAGATGACATGTGTGGTGAATTGGCGCTATAGAAATAAACTTAAAATTTAAAGCTGTCTTCTGGCAGGCATGGACTGGCCATCGGGAGGATGGGGGTCAGCTCCCGGTGGCCCGGCCTGGATGATTCAGGATCTGGAGGACCTGGAGTGAGGAAGCTGCTATCCTGGGCTAATTTTAAGGCATCTCTGCTGTCTTGAATTTAAGGGACAACTTTGACCACCTGAGTGGACTCTGTCTTAGACAAAGGGGACAAATAGATGAGACATCCCACCTGGGACATGTCCTGAGCTGCAGGGCTGGACCGGACTCTGAGAAGAGACATGAGGTCGGAGACCGCAGGAGAGTCTTGGCTGGACCTGCAGACCACAGTCCTGAAACAGAGACAGAAGGAGGACAGCGTCAGAGAGACTCTGCTCCGCTGCATACATCTCCCAGAATGCATTGGGTTTGTTTTTGTAGCTCTGAGGGTGTCAGGCAGACTGTTGGATCCTCTTCATCTTAAAAAAATCAAAGTTGGTGTTTCTTTCATCCCAGCATCCTTCCATCATCTTCCTCAGCCCAAAGGTCAGTGGTCAGATAAACCCACCCAGCTCAGATCAGGGGCCCCGTGGGAGCCTCGGCGTCTGGCCCCTGACTTCACAGCCACCGCCACCCTCACAGATACTCTCTCTCCTTCTTCTTCCTCCGCTGCTGCAGGGTTCTTCGTGGCGGCGCCACATTCCGCACGGCGGTGTCGCAGCTCGCAACACAGTGCAACAAGAAAACTTAACAGGGATTTTCTTGTTCGTACCTGAGCTCAGAGTAAACGCTCAAACCGTGCCCGAGGCTGCTCCAAGATCCGCCGCAGCACCAAACAGGCCGCCCAGGCTTTCATCCCACAACAAGGGATTGTTTCAGGCCCAGAACCCACGTCGGCCCAGAATCGCGAGCAAACATTTCCCAATTTTCACTCATGGGGGTCGATAAGCTGCAGAGGTATCTGAGCAGGTGAGATGTTCAAACTGAGCAGAAGATAAGAGGCCTGGTTTTTAATCTGCATCCTTCCTGTTTGAAACGCCAACAAAAGCTTTGATCTAAAAGGTGGAAAACAAAACAACACCTGTTGATTAAAGTTAAATAAAACCTTTTAGTTCCTGTAGTTCTTAGAAACCAGCCTGCAGTAAATAAACAGGAAGTTCCTTCTCAGTTAAAAGATTCTGGACTGTTTATCATTTCAAATCATTTTTAAGCTGCCTTCTGATGGCATTTTAAGGAAAGGATTTTTATCAAAAACCTAATTAATGTGCACAAATAAGTAATAGCTGTATTAACCATACATGTAAACAGTGTTTATGGGGCCCCCAGGAACTTGGGTCCCTAGGCAACTACCTAGTATTGCATAAAAGGAAAACCCACCCCTGCATCAGCCAGACAGGTCCAGCAGGAACCTAAACTTTTACCGTGGAAACATTTTTCTGTCTTCATTCTGTCTGATCCAAACCTCAGCTTCAGATGCCAGAACCTTTTTCCATGTATGGCTCTTTGGTTTGTGACACACTGGGAGACTGAGAACATGATTTATAAACCTGGTGAGGGAACAAGAACATTGGGGAACATTTAAGCCTTCAGAATCTGTTCTTCAGGAAAATTCAAACTCTGATATGGATTTTATTCCTTTCAATCTGGAACCAGCTGCTTTTCCTTTGGGACCAAATTTATTCCTTATTTGTGGACTTGAATATCTTTTTCCTCTTTTAAAATATAAATCTGTTGTGAAGCCATCCGATAGTGAATCAGGATCTGGTCCAGGAACCAGGATTCATGTTCTCTAGATGTAACCGCCTGAAGGTGGAACCATTGAGAGGATGTTTCTTTGGGGGTTTTGATTTTACGAGAATTTGAATACATTAAAGGGGTTATAGAATGCAAAACCGAGTTTCCATTGGCATAAATGAATAACGATAGTTCAGTGGGTGAAATGGACGTAAAGAGAAGTTCAAACCCCATCAACACCTCCTTTCTCTGCAAATCTTACCATAAAACCGGCGAATGCAATCCAAGAACTGAACTGACGCAAACTCGGGGATGTTGCCTTATTTGGTTCTGGCCTGTTCTTTTGTCATGCCCCGAAGTTGACATGCAGACCAGCCCACTGGTTCACTGGCCCAGGAGAGGGGGGCGGGTATGAAGTGTTGACTGCTGGGCCGCTGACTGGACCGGACCTCGGCAGAGAGACATGAGCCGCCCTTCCTTAGCCGGAGGAATGGGGCTGTGGGCCGGTGAGGCAGGCGGGGGGGGGAAGCACGGGGCCGCCAATGTCCAGGCTACTGTCATCGGGTCGGGTTCGGTCACTCCGCCCACCCCCGCTGGTTCCCTGCCCCCGTCCGCTGGATTTCCTGGACCAGCCCTGGAGCTGATGGTTCGGTCCTGCTGTACTGTAGTCGACCAAAATCCCGGACGATTTTGAAATTCCCCCCAGACATTTTTTTAGGTATGAAAAGTAGGACATGTCCGGGAAAAAGAGGACGTCTGGTCGAGTGAGTGCTTGTTGCTATGATGCGTCTTTGCTCAGCAGCTTGGCTCGTTGTAAACCAACCAATCAGAGCACAGCTCATCATCGTCGTTTCATTCTGAGGCTTTTAATCAGGCTGTATTATGGCTCATAGAACAGCAGATATGCCATTTTCAGCCCAACCAATGTTACACACCCTATTCAGAGACCTTAAAGACCAAATACCCTATAGAATCATTCTATCACACCTTTAAGCTAGTGAAGATTCTGTCACTACCCAATCCGTCCCGGAAGCACGTCCGTCGTGCACCATCAGCTTATTTGCACATCCAGATATACATCCGGGTCGCCCTTGATTTTATTTTGTTAAAAAGACCTAAGGGACATTTTCCCTCTCCAAAAATAGTACGCGTACTAAAATATTACCTGTTAAAGGTTAATCATTTATTTCCTGAGAAAATAAAGGCCTTAGAATCATCTGCACCGCTACTTCCAGTGGCAAACTTTTTCTCATCTCATCTTTTTGAGTTTTATGTTTTCATGGTATATAGTGCATAATCTGAAGAAAGAAACAACTAAAATGTAGATAAACATTGTTTAATCATATTTTGCTGGACTGCTCTGAGCATGTCGCCTGATGACGTCAGAGAAGCAGTTTAACAAAGAAAATGTAAAAAGCATCAAAATTGTCTCACAAAATTCATAAAACAATTTTTAAAGATATGTATTAGCATTCTTTATTCAGTTAAGGATAGAAATAAGTAATTTAACCATAATTACATTATTTTTGGACACCCAGATGTTTATCTGTTGGCGCAGGACGGCTGGGTTAGGGACAGATTCTCAGTTATCCAGGACATTGTCATTCAAAAAAAGTAAAAAAAATAAAATAAAATAAAAAGCCACTTTTGTTTGTTTTTACTTTTTTGAATTGAATACATTAAATGTTTAAAAAAGAGGAAACATTTTGTAATAATTTGGTTTGAATCTGACTTTTTTTTTTTTAATCCGGTGCGGCCTGGAACCCATCGTCTTTCAGCTGGTTTCAAAGTTCTGTCATATTTGTTAGAACCAACTTTAGAGAACCGTTTCTGGGAAAACTGATCCTGAAATATGGATCAGAAAAATCAAAACTAAAAATGCTCTGACCCCCATGGGGACATTGAGGTTCTAGGGACCAAAACAGAGCAGAACTCCAGGATCAGAACCTTTTTTTCAGAGGAAAGGGAAGTCATTTTATAGAATCAAACTTTCTGTTCAGAGAACCTTCCTGTTAGAACCTGAAATCATTCTGTATAGATTGGCTTTGTGATCATGGGAATGGGTTGTCAGCGAACCAGACGGTTTCCCAGAGGAACCTAGAAAAGAAGCAGGAACAGGACAATCTTTGGAGCTGGAAGGTCTGGTTTATCCCCAGCTCTGGTTCTGGTTTTACTAAATTCTTTGAGTTTCTGGGGAAAATTCTGGAAGTTTTCCTTTAGGTGAAACCGACAGAGTCAAACTGTCGGCCCAAATCCGTCCCGGCCCCACAGAAACACTCATGATCCTTTGACGTGATCAAAGAGCCGAACCCAGATCCGCTCGGGCCCGCGGATAATCCGGATCAGCCCTCATCAGATCATTGCTGTGTTTTTGTGGGAATAAGTAGAGGGGGCTCAGAGGGGGAGGAATTTACAGCTCGGCGGAGACCAGAACCCCGAGGCTCCGATCCGATCCGCTGTCGTCACGTCCAAAAGCTGAGATGGATGTTCTTCATGCTTTCTACACATCGGCCAGAGTTCTGGAGCACAACAAGGCCAGGGGGAGCGCCAACATTTGTTCTGCTTCGCCTCCGTTGCAACACATCTGGCCTGAAAAGTTCTGAAAAATTCCTGCTCATGTTTAAAGACAAGGCCTCAGATGGTTCTGTTTAACACAAGTGGTTCTGGCAAACGCTGCCAAACCCAACGTGATCTGAAGGAAGAGAAGGTGAAAAGGTTCTGCACGCGATCGGGCTGAAATAAATGTCTGCTATAGAACTCACCTGGTTCTGAACCTGAACCACTGACCCTGATCTCCTACTGTACCCCTCCAAAACAGAACCAGGTCCGTGTGTCCGGCTCGTCACATCGTGAGGGGATTTTTATGTCCAAGACGTCCGGGCCAAAGTCCAAGAATCTGCTGATCCCCTGAACACATCTCAGCTGGAGGACATTAACTGCTCGTTTAAACTAGATTTGTTTCTCTTGTTCAGGCTCGGATGTTCTGACCGTTTGGCTCCAGTACCACATGGGCCGGGCTCGTGCTGGAGCACTCACTGTCTACAGCTGAAACAGAGAAGTTCTGGAAGATGATATTTCCTGAAGAACACATCCGGATGGAAGGTTTCTGACATTTGGTGGATCAGAACCAAACCCCTCCTCCCTGCCTTGGTTAAGGTATGAATGTTCCCAGGGGGATCTGGATCTGACCTTGGTCCTGAACCTGAGAGTCCGTGCAGCGAGGAAAGTTCTGATCTGCACAGGACAAATTAAATCACCTCAGATGTTGGAAGACGGAGCAGCGGAACCTTCAGATCAGAGTCCAGACCTGAAGGAGCTGAAGGCTTCCTGGTTCTGATCCATATTGCATGTTTGAGGAACATTAAATAAACTGAGATTTTGAGGCTTGATTAGGATGAGAAGAACGAAAGGTCCAGTTTTTCAGAACCTCCTGGTGTAGAGCTGCTGAGAAAAGGATTTTTCATCAGAACCGGGTCAGATAAGGTTCCGTTCAACAACACAAGATCAGAACCGAGTTTAAAGCTCAAAACAACAAGTTTGGAAAATGTTCTGGTTCTGTTTTGTTTTTTTCTGTTTTAATTTAATTTAATAAGAAATAAATAATCTGAACAAACCAGAACCCCAGAACCTGAACAGCAGACTGAGGGTTTAAAGCTCGGTTTGGACCCACTCTGATAATTCTGGTTCGGTTTCATGTGAGGTGGGTCCATGAAATGAAGATCTGGACAAAATTGGTTCCTAAATAAAAAAAGGATCAGCTTCATCTGCTTCAATAGATTTAAACTAAAGGCCCAAACCTGAACAAGTTTGGACTCTGGTGCTGGGATGGGTGTCAAATGGGCCGGGCCAGAACCTGTACAGCTAAATCCACAAACAGGAGCAGAAGTTCTGCTGCAGCTCAGCTGGAGTCAGGCTGAAGGTAAAACATCTAAATCAGCAGGATGGAGGACGTCTCAGATTGAGGTTCTACAGAACCGCATCTGGTGATTGACGGTTCTGATGATGACGAGAAAATCAGGAGATCCTGTCCTGTTGGTTCCACAGGTGATTATGATGTGGCCATGAAGGAGACCAGCTCTACTCTGAAGCTTTATCGGCTCCTCTGGGTCTGCAGCCCCCTCCTGGAGGAACTCTGAACAGCTTGAACATCCGCAGCTGGAGGAGGAAGAGGAGGAGAAAGAAGGGCCAAGAGGAGGAAGAGGAAAATGAGGAACCAGGAGGAGAAGGAGGAAGAGGGGGCAAGAGGAAGAGGAGGAGCCAGGTGGAAAAGGCGGGGGAAAAACAGGAGGAAGAGGGGGTGGAAGAAGGAGGAAAAAGAGGATGAAGAATAACCAGAAGGAAGAGGAGGGACCTGGAGTGAAAATGAGGACATAAAACAAAAGGAAGAGGGGAAGGATCCAGGAGGAAGGGATAGGGACCATGAAAAAGAGGAGGAACCATGAAGAAAAAGAGGTGGAGGAGCCAAGAGGCAGAGGAGAAGGAACCTTGAGGAAGATAAGAAACAACCGGGAGGCTGGACTTAAACCAAGAACCTCCCGGTTGAAGGACAAACTCCCACATCCGAGCATTAAAGAATCATTAAACCCTCCTCTGAGAACCAAACTGGGCTTAGTTTTCCTTCAGTTCTCCGATCAGTTTGGTTTTTGCTCAGAGCAACAGAACCCGAGCAGAACACATGTTCCTCCAGAGGAACATTCTCTGATTGGGTTCCTGCAAACGCGCTCACTCTAAATGCAAACTCACGTTCTGTTCTGACCCGCCAAAACCAGAATATGAAACGGCTGTGACCAGAATATGAAAAGAGGAACCATCTCAGATCTGATCCAGAAAATGATTCCAGCGCTGACACCACAGAGCACGAAAAGATGTCTGTTTTCTGACCACATGTTGCTGCTAGATGAGCCCATCAGAACCACTGACAGCTGCTCAGGGATGATTCAGAATTCACACAGAACTGTTCTGTTGTTTGCAGCGGGTCCAAACACACTTCCAGGTCCGGATCAGCGGTGATCCAAAGCAACCAGCTGGTTCTGGATGGTTTCTGCTCTTTAACCTGCTCTGACCCACCTGCAGGAAGCTGCACAACACATGATCCCCGAACATGGGCAGACTGGGCCGGCTGTCGCGGTACACATGCACCGTGTAGATCGTCATGACGACGGGGTGAGGCTCTGACGCATCGGTTACCAGGATGCTGATCCGGCTGGCACCAAGACCGACCGGGAAGTTTGCCATCCTAAGGGGCAACATAAGGAACCACATGAACTGAGAGGTTAGAGGTCAGAAATGAGGGGGGGTGGGTACAACACTCACCTGGGACCTCGATGGTTGTCCAAGTGAATCACACAGCCGGCACTGACCAGTTCTGGTCGGATCCGCACTGTCACTGTGTCGAATGGTACCTCGGCTCGGTATTCTTTCAGGGTGGGGCTGAAGAGCGGAGTCAGAATGAGTGGGGGGTCGGTGTAGATCTGTCTGAGGTGGGGGTCAGAGCAGGAACCTGGGGGTGACAGGAATCGGCCAATCAGAGCACAGATCCTAGGGCTTAAAAACCAGGTCTGGTAAAGATTAGGACTGATGTCAAACCCGGTTCTGGTTCAGTTCTGACCTGCATTCTGACCCGGTGCGGGTCCAGTTCTGACCTGCTTTCTGAACCAGCACGGGTCCATTTCTGACCATCTTTCTGACCCGATTCTGGTTCTGTTCTGACCTGCTTCTGACCCGGTGCGGGTCCAGTTCTGACCTACTTTCTGACCCGGTACGGGTCCAGTTCTGACCTATTTACTGACCCGGTACGGGTCCAGTTCTGACCTATTTACTGACCCCGTGCGGGTCAATTTCTGACCTAATTTCTGACCCGGTACAGGTCCAGTTCTGACCTGCTTTCTGACGCAGTGCGGGTCCCTTTCTGACCTACTTTCTGACCCGGTACGGGTCCAGTTCTGACCTATTTACTGACCCGGTACGGGTCCAGTTCTGACCTATTTACTGACCCCGTGCGGGTCAATTTCTGACCTAATTTCTGACCCGGTACAGGTCCAGTTCTGACCTGCTTTCTGACCCAGTTCTGGTCCAGTTCTGACCAGGTGCGGGTCCATTTCTGACCTACTTCTGACCCGATACAGGTCCAGTTCTGACCTGCTTTCTGACCCAATTCTGGTCCAGTTCTGACCTGCTTTCTGACCCAGAGCTGGTCAAGTTCTGACCTGCTTTCTGACCCAGTTCTGACCTGGTGCGGGTCCATTTCTGACCTACTTCTGACCCGATACAGGTCCAGTTCTGACCTGCTTTCTGACCCAGTTCTGGTCCAGTTATGACCTGCATTCTGACCCAGTACTGGTCCATTTCTGACCTTTCTGACCCGCCTCTGGTCCAGTTCTGACCTGCTTTCTGACGCAGTGCGGGTCCCTTTCTGACCTACTTTCTGACTTGGTGCGGGTCCAGTTCTGACCTGGTTCCTGTCCAGGAACCATTGCTTTCTGTTTGAGGTCTCCTGTTCTTTGCTGTCTGGAACTCAGCAGCCAGAAGGTGCCGCTGGTCTTCAGAACCAACATGTTTACCAGAAACTGTCTCACCTTCGTGCTCCGGCGTTGCTGACAGCTGATTGGTCGGTTTGTTCATCTCCCTGTGGAGAAAAGCTAAAATTGTCATGTGACTCCTTAGGAATCCTATGATTGGCTGACACTTTCAGTTCCTCACCTGCTCTTCTGCAGCTGGTGGTGACGGCTGATCCTGAGGAGGTCAGAGAGAAGCCGCGAAGCTGAGGAGGAGGAGGAGTTGGGGTGAAGCTGCATAAAGAGAAGCAAACTGGCCTCAGATTACCTTCAATCATTTATTTACTGGAAGCTGAGAAGGTCCAAACATCTGGTAGCTGCTTGATTCATGGTCCAAGAACCACTAGAGAACATACCAGATGAAAGGCTGAGGGCATCTTCAGCTGCTGGTGGAACCGGAGCAGAAGGAGAAGCTCATCCTGGGATAAACAGGCTCCGTTTGTCCCTCTGCAGCCACCGTACTAAGGACACGGACAGTTTAAACGTTTCCTGCCTGATTTATTCTTATCATTTCCATTCCATTGAACTTCTAGCTCTCAGCCTCCAGGATATAAACCCCTCAAAACTTCAGGTTCAAACTCACCTGCTGCCTCAGGGCTTCTAAAGACAGGTGAGTCTCTGGGGAAAGGTGAGTCTCTGGGGACAGGTGAGTCTCTGGGGACAGGCGAGTCTCTGGGGACAGGTGAGTTTCTGGGGACAGGCGAGTCTCTGGGGACAGGTGAGTCTCTGGGGACAGGCGAGTGGGCAGAGGCAGCAGGAACTGCAGGCTGTCTTCCAGGACCAGGTCTGTGGTGATCTGTCTGCTGAACATGTCTTCACTAAGAGATGTCACCTTTGTGTCCACCTGAGGACAAACAGAGGAACAGTGACCTCTGCTGGACAGTTACATGTACAGTACCTGAGGAGGACCAAACAGCTGCAGTTGATGATTTTAGGGAATTTTAATCAAACTGGCTGTCATGGTCTGCCCTGATATTTGGCCTTAATTGTTCATTTTACTCACCTGCCTAACTCTGCCCGGTCTCTAATTATCACTCATCTCATCCACCTGTGTCTGTTCCTTTATATTCGGCTCAGACCAGCTATCGAGGCCAGATCATTGTTTATTCCCTGTTTGATTTCTGTCCTGTCTGTCAGTTTGTTGGTTTTAGTTATTTCCAAGGTTTATGTCCCCGTTTCAGTTGGAGATTATTCTTCAGCCCTTGTCTCCAGGCAAGTTTATTCCCTAGCCAGTGGTGAGAGCATTTCAGCGTTTCCTAATGATTCTGATTTCCTGATTCCATTCCCTCTCACCCTCTCTGTCCCCGTCTGATCTGTTCGTCTGAACCATTCTTGGACTCCTGCTGGATTCTGCCTTTCTGCATCTGTGCGTGTCTGTCTGGGCACGCTTCTGGACCCGTCTGACTCTGAACCTGCCTTCATGCTCTGAGGATTCCTGGGAGCCTGGATCCTACTGATTGTCTCACCTTGAATACTGCTATCAGCAGGTCCATCGACAAAAAGACCATTTCCCTTATCCTAGATTCTCTTCACAGGCCTTCTGTTGAATCCAGAATAGAATTTAAAATCCTCCTTCTAACATATAAAGCACTAAATACATTTCCTTGTAGATTAAGCTTATGGTAAGAGGGACTCAGGCTATCCTGAGCTATCTCTATTGTTATGCTGCTATAGGCTTAGACTTATGGAGGACATAGGGAACCTTTTTTCATCATTCTGCTTCATTCTATCTCTCCCTCTGCTCTCTCTGCTCTGCTCTCTGCTTTTTCTCATAGTAGCTTCATCTGGTCTGTTCCTCTTTGGCTGTGACTCCATCCTGGAGAGAAATATCAGCTGTGCTGCTGCCATCATCACCTTCGTTAATAGATGTTGGAGATTGGCCTGTATTTCAGTGTAGTCCTGTTTCTCTGACTGTGACTAACTTGATGTGCTCTCTTCATCCTCTGACTCTGGGAGCTGGCTCGGAGCTCATCTGCCTGGCTCTGTGTTTCCTGGACGGCTCCGCTTGTGGAGCTGGTTGACAGTTACCTTTTGTATCTATGTTTCTTTTCCTATGTCTACTTCTGTCTCCCTCAGCCCCAGTCAACCTCGGCAGATGGCCCCACATTCTGAGCCTGGTTCTGGTTCTGCTGGAGTTCCTTCCTGTTAAAAGGGAGTTTTCCTCTCCACTGTCCAACAAGCATGCTTGGTGTGAGGGATTTCTATTGAGTCAGTGCCATCTGCTGGTTTTCCTCAGACATAAAACTTTGAACCAATCTGACTGGATGATCTGGTTGAATTGTTTCTGTAAAATACCTTGAGATGACATGTGTGGTGAAATGTAGCTGTAGAAATAAACTAAATTGACTAACTGGATGCTCTCTTTTATCGTTTGACATAAAAACTGGATCAGAGCTCGTTTGTTTAACTGTTCCTTTCCCAGACAGAGCCAACTGTGGAGCTAATTCACTCTAAGTTTTTCTAACATAGAAAGTATTTATAGATTAGTGCCTCTATGTCGCTTTTCTGCCTGCTAGAACCCCGGTCTTCCTCAGCAGATGGCCGCTCACTCTGAGCCTGGTTCTGGTTCTGCTGGAGGTTTTTTCTTCTTCCAGCTCATCCAGGAGGAGTAAATCAGCTGGTTATCCTTGTTCTTTTAATCGCACCAGACGATCTGATTGGATTTTTTCTGTAAAGTGCCTTGAGGTTAAACATTGTACTATATAAAAAACTAAAATATGAGTTAAAATAAACTGGATCAGACAGTCGGATCACTGAAGCCAAACAGGACCAGACTGCTTTCACTGTCTGACCAGTAGGGGGCAGTAGCTACATGTTGGGCCCTAAACTGAACCCAGAGCTGCAGAACTCCTACCTGGACCACAACAGGTGTGATGGAACCACTGAACATCAGCATAAAGGTGAGCAACTGGAAACACAACAAGCATCTAGAACAAGGAACACAGGCAAGAACATGATGAGTTTCAGAGAGAGAGAGGAAGAGGGAGAAAACCAGAGTACAGCTCACCTGCCACCTGGTTGCTGCTCCTGATTGGTCGATGCCGCCTGCAGCACCGAGCCGACCACCCTTTGGATCTGAACCCAGGCCAGCTGTGAGGTGGAAGCTCCCAGCTGCTGCAGCAGGAAAGTTCTGATCTGATAGACGGAGAACAAATGCTCAGGAACTCATGTTGTCACCGACTCCTCCAGGAACAGGTCCATCTGCAGGTGTTTAACCTTCATCTGTTGTCCAGGAGCACTCTGATTGGCCCACACTACGCTGATGTCATGCATAAAGGCAGTCAGAGGGGTCACAGAGGTCACCAAGACAAAGACATTTACCATGGCAACCAGAGCAGGAGACTGGGTTCGGTCAGGAGAGCGACTGTCAGAGAAACAGAAAAAAAACAGCCTCATATTGACATCTAGTTGGACCTCAGTCTCCAACCAGATCAGAGAGACAGGAACAAAGGCTACTCTCTGGTGCGAACTGGTCACACCTGTCCTGAGGAAAGTCAGGCTTCTGATTGGATGATCCACAGGAGTGAGGCTTCATGCCAAGGACAGGTTCTGCAGAAAGAGGTGAGAAGGTCAAACATTGACCCTAAGGACACCTGTTCTGGTGGCTCCCTGAAGTGAGCATACCTGCCAGCTGTTGGTAAAAGTGACAAAGACCTCCACCTACGTCTGAAAATGCCTCCATCAGCTCAGGAAGCAGGTTTACCTGGATGCACATGTTAGCAACATGTTAGCTTATTCTATTGCTCCAAGGACTTCGATTCATTTCTAAGGCCGTGATTTTAAAATCCCTATCCCAATAGCACGGCTCGTTAGCAGTGCGTCCTCACAATGTGCTATGTTTGGAAAAACTGTTGGAGCACACACACAACGACAAACCCAGGTGAACACTGATGTCATCAAACTTTCCATGTGAGTCTCACCATCTGATGCTGCTGCAGGTGTGAGAAGCTGATTCTCCTCAAACAGCTCCGCTCTGAAGTACTGAGGCACAGCAGGAGGCTCCACCCACCCGCACCTGGAATCAGGAAGAAAGGGGAGGAGACAACACCCGGCAAAGAATGCTGTCTGGAACTCAAAGAATGGATGCCGAACTTCTCACTACTGTTCTGGGTGCTAATTAGATTTTTGAGGAGTTTCAGCAGCAGTACGGTCATCACGAATATCAAATTAAATTTATAGTCCCCACACTGCATTTGCACAGGGACAAATAATACCTTTCAATAAACAAAACATCAATCGCAACATATCTGACTCAATAACCATTAAAAAAATATTTTCATTAATTTCAGACGGAACTATTCTCACACTTGCATAATATTCAACTGCACTTCCACTATTCACAACTGTTCAGCACCATTTCCCGTTTTCCTCTGAGCATAGAGCAGCCTAACCTGACTCCGCCAGATGGATTTGCTCCGCATATCCATCTGGAAACCTTCCGTTGAAGTAATTTTGGGAAGGGGCGAAAATACTGGTTAGCTGATTGGCCTATGATGGTGATAGACGAGCCAAATAAACCAATCAGATCAACGAAGCACATGACGTACTAACAGAGCGACAACGAAAACACAACCAAAAGCCAGGCTACTCTTGCCGAATCCAGTCGGGAGAAGAGCAAAAACATCTTTTCCTCTGAGAAAAGCCTCCAGAGCAGTGCTTTGCTCTTCTTTCAGTGAAGAAATACTCTGTAATTCCGATCAAACTTGCTCGATAGGCACGCTAACGCTAGTTTCATCGGCTGAAGCTGCCATGTTCTTTAGTGTGAACTGTCGCGCTTCTCGTTGCGTCACACCTCAACCCGCCTCAAAGCCAACGCTGATTGGACGTTTGTTTGGTGAACGGCTCCAAATTTTCTTTAACAGAGTCTCCAGACTGATTTGCGAGTGAAACCTTGAAGATCAGGATGGTCTCACGAGGCTAAGAGCAGCCGGCTTGCTTGGATGAGCAATGCATCCTGGGATACCCAAGGCTACGGAGGATACAGCAAAACGGGTAAAAAGAAGGATGTATTTGTCGTCCGCATAAGGAGGAGTCTTCAGAAGAGACCTCAGCACCGTACTATGATGTAATCGGCCGAAGAATCTGACCTTCAGTGGACGGAGTCGCTGAATCCGAATTGTAACAGCAAATCCCATAATGCTTTGGGAGGAGAGCTCTCAGAGCAAAGCATTCTGGGATATATCTGCCTCTTCCGAGGCCTTTCTTTTCTTCTCAAACTCTTCTAAGACACTTTTTCTCCTACGACCCTCAGCCATTTTCAAAGAACCTAAGTGAGAAAGGTGAGCTGCAATGACTGTCCTACGGTTTCAATGACTGAAAAGGTAGCTCCCTACAGATATACTAACAATAGCTAACGGAACGAGCGCATAGGACGGCCTTACGTAAACATATCATCAGAGTGAATGACATTTAGGAGGAGCACTTAGTTAGAGGATCCACCCGGATATAAAAGATAGTCCTCTATACCTTTAAAGCAAAGTAACAGTGAGTCCATGGTCGCCATTATTAGCGCTGTCTACATAGTGCTCACAATTATGGAGGAACGAGGAAGCAGGATGATTCTTAGAACCAATGCAGTTAACATAGGGACCTCCTGACCCCCCCAGCCACCACTAGGAGGGATGCCCCACAATCAAGAGGGTGACAGACCCTACAAGCCCAGCCCACCTTATGGAGTTAAGAACATTATTTCTTCAGGTGTTTTCTGGGTGACATATGCTAATGCTCATACCTTCATATGTTTGTTAGCCCGTACAGTTCATTTATGTAGCTTTTGTTGTTTTTGTATAGCCTGTTTTCCCATTTGACATGTATTGTGGGAGTCTGTATAGCTCCTGTATAGCACCAGTTAGGAACGTCAAGAGATAGAAGTATCCTGCGTCTTTCCAAAAAATTTAAAAAGCAATCCACTGGGCTTTGTTTCCAAGTTTCCCATCCAGGAGGCTTTTTCAATTCAAAATGTCAGAATTAGCGTTGAGTTCAAAGCTTTATAGCCCAAAAAACTTACCACAGCTTAGAAAATATGCAAATTGAACCAGAGGAATAGGTTTGCCCCTTAGGAATGGGGAGTCGTTTGGGTTCTTTGTTAGCCTGCAATACCAGATACTGGTCTGTGCCTCTGAAAGGGGGGAGTCGTTAGGGACAATTGTTGGCCTGGCTGCCCAGGTGAGATGTTTTGGTCCAATGTGGGCATTGCAGGCTGACAAAGAACCCAAACGAATCAACATCCATTCAAAAAACAATTTTGCTTTTTAACTTTCTTGGAATGACTACAGTATGACCTAGATGTCTGAGAATCTTCACCAGCACGCATCCTGCTTCCTCTCCCTACCTCCTACCTAACTGCCAGCACTATTCAGACAGCACTGATCATAAACACTTCCGCTTTCCTCATCAATTAGCCTGATGGAGCGATAGGCAAAGCCTCCACAGAGTTTAAACTAGTGTTGCGCCGATGCCATTTTTTGGCCCCGATACCGATACCTGGCTGTGCAGTATCGGCCGATACAGATACCATAATAATGTAAAATAATTGCCATCATGGCTTTGTCAAGCTAATGCCTACCTTTTTGAAGCAGGAAAAAATCTAATACAAAGTGAATCCAGTAGAACTTTGTATTGCCTACCTGGAATGGGTGACAATAGTTGAATAAACTTATGGCTCTCAAAATGGTATCGGTGCCCTATTTGTTGGTATTTGCCGATACCGATACCACCATTTTAGGGCAGTATCGGGGCCCCGTCCGATACTGGTATTGGTATCGGTGCAACGCTATTTAAACACATTATTTTTTTCCCTTGTCCTCTGGGTGACGCATGCTAATGTTTGCACCTTCAAATGTTTTGGGTTTTATGATGGAGAGCTTCAGCCACTCAGAACATTTGGACTTTTTGCTTTGGTCCTTAACCAGGAGGCTTCATCCATGAGCTTTTGTATAACAGAATGCCATGCGGAGTTCTTTTAGCACCCTGGATAGAGTTCTACTGTGGACCCTGTATAAGGTCAAGGAACAGAAGCTAAGAGCTACAATCTGTTGTATTTGGATCGAGCTCTTCTCCTCAGTAAAAATGTTTTAATCCTGGAACTAGTCAGTTTGTGGCTTAACTGATTTGTGTTACTTTCACTTTCTTTTGTCCTTTCCGAGATGGTTTAGTTGGTGTCAATGATTGGCTTGTTAGATTTTATTTCCTTCCTGACTCTGAACCTGTCATCAGACCACCGGCACTGGTCAGTTTAGGAGGTTCTGAGCACTTTTACGTCAGAGGAGTTGGAAAGCAGGGACAAACACTGCAGTTTTTGTTTTAACCATGAAAAAAACAGTAAAAATGTTCAACAGAGACATGAGAAGATGAGGAGGTTGGTTTTCAGAAGGGACTGACTCAAAGGGATTTTTAGCCTACCGTATTTTTGGGGGTGCTGAAGCAACCCTAAATTGAATTTTTTTAATTGAGGAGTAAAAAATGTTGAGAAAATGTTTGTAGCCTCACAGGCTTCAAATGAAGGTCATGAGGGATAAGAATGAGTCACACAGCCTCCTTCATGGCGTGAAGGGGAGGACTGCTGTTTTCGGAAGATCCATCCGGCCAGTGAAAAATATATTAACCTAACAGGGAACGGCCTTGATGAACTCAACTAGTTTCCCTCTAAATAATCAAGTGTGAGAAAGTTCTTTATGCAGGGGGTGGGTTGGTTCCCCAAGAGGGAGTGTGTAAGGTAAAGAAGGATGTGCTGAGGTTGCCTCAGTCAGAGCCCTATCTCTCCATCTGAGGACGTTAAATAAATTTGAACCTTTTTTCTTGCAAGAAATGTCTCAGCTCCCTAACTACACAGCTTTTTACTATAAAAAAACAAACAAAACACACAAAACAAATTAACATTTTAAAAACTATACAGTATTTGGTTATTTAACCCCTTCAATTTTATTCCGGTTCATCATAAATAGTAATAAGCAAATAAATAAAAACTACTAAAAAAGCCTGATGGGGCTCCCTATTAATTAATTAATTTTTATCTTCATCTACCACATTATACATGTCAGATTAAATAATACTACATATACTTAAGCGATGGTATCAAGGTGCTACTTTATTGTATCTGTTATACTATATCTGTTGGTTGTTCTTTTTACATCTGTCTTATAGGTGATGAAGAAAATGTTTTATCGTTATCTCCCTTTTATCTCCTCTTACTTTCATCTTTTCTCCTTTATTTGTATTTCCTTTCCTGTTTTAATTACATTACAGTGTCCATATAATCTGAATTATTCCCTGCATGAAAGCAATTTATATGCATAAATCAAGGGCAACACTATGGCAATAGCCGTACTGCTCCACTCGTGAAAATAAAATCTGCTGGACTCTTTTTTTGGCATCAAGACAATTACTTTTAATGCGAAATTGCCAGACAATGTGGCACTGTAAAAACTATAAAGTATTTGGGTATTTAACCCCTTCAATTATGTTCTGGTTCATCAGAAATAATAATAATGATAAAGAAACCAAAAATAAAAACAAGTAAACAAGCCTGAAGGAGCTCCTTAACTAAAATATCGACCAATGCTTTGAGGAAAACTCTGCATTCAGGGGTCAGATTTCTGCACCTATTGATGGTGTGTTGGTGAAATGATCACCAGCGAGGTGCTCTAATGTGTCTGAGTGGTTTGTTTGATTCTCTTTAAAACCACAACTTAATATCAATATTTAAATTTAAGGCATCATTAGTAAATCGTTATCATTTTTTTTCAGTTTCTAGTTATTTGAATTTATAATCCATTTTATGATTGCCAGTCTAAAGAGGGAGATGTGTACAAGGAGGAGCAGAGGAGCAAGGTGTTTGTAAAATAAAAGCTCAGGGAAAACCAGGTAAACTGGCAAAGAAAAACATTTTGTTCAGTAGATGATATATAATGGAAGTAATTTTGGCACAAAAGAGAACTCATTTAATCAAAACTGATTCAATGGTTTCCATGAAATGAGCTGATTTCAAGTCGTAGGGAAGCGGCTGTTCCATCCGTTGCATTTCCGAATTCTCCCGAGTGGTGTCCGAATTTACTAGTGAATAAAGTGAATGTGATTGGTCGTTTAAGGTTTGCAAGCAAGTTTGGTTGTGGCCGGTTTGTCGGAACCATCTTGCTAACCAGTTAGCAACTTAGTGCTAGTAGGTTCCCAATGAGAAATTCCATTGGGACCAAGTAGCACTAAATTGGTGACTTAGAAACGACACTGTCAAGGAACGCTGTGGACAGAGGAAACATGCAAGAGGAGGAGAGTTTAGTGTCGGAGGTCGTGGATGAGTCTCCTCCGTCATCCATTTTTTATTTAGAGGAGGAAAGCGGTAATGAAAATGTGGAAGAGGACGCCGGGGCGGCAGAAGCTTGGTTTGGTGTAGAAGGCTTCCAGCCGTACATGTTTGAGCCCTTGCCTCTCAACGCTGCCAGTTCTGTTAGCTCTACGCCTGCCGAAGACACAGACGTCCATCCCCGTGAACACTGGGACGGAACTCAATGGGAAAGGAAAGGATTCTGATTTCAACCGTTGCGTATATTAGCTGCGACATATGAATCAAGATGCTATGACCTAAAACATTTGATTGACAGATGACCTTTTAATATATGATTGGCCGAATTTAGGTGTTCAGGCTGACGTATAACTAACTGGCCGGCATAAGATAATGAAAAATAAACACATGTTAAGACATCAGTTTTCGCAAAACAGAAATTTTCTAAATTTTGGGACACTATCGTCTGATAAAGAGTACATTTATGTACATGTTTAAGCCAGAATGATTTGAAATTTAAATATGATTTCCCTATGACTTTAAAAGCTTTAATTGGTTGGAATATTCTTCTAAATGTGCTGCTTTTTGCTTTGCTTGTTAGGTTTTTGGCACACGTCTCAGATACGCCGCATTAGTGAATGTTGGAGTCAGTCATTAGCAAAACGCACTGAACACGTTTCAAAAATAGTGAAATGAACCTTGTGTGGCCAGACAGCTCTCTGGGTGCTCAGCACCTCTAAACCTCGGATCCTGGAGGAGCCACTACAGAATTAGACGAACTGAACTCCAGGAACAGATCTGAGCTCAGAGTGTTTTCAGTGCAGAACCAACGACTGCAGGTCCACATGTTAGCATAAACATGCAGCATAAACCTGCTTGATTGTTTCCAGCTGTGGACAGGAAGTCTCCACCCAGGTCACATGACAGGAAACGCTGCGGGTTGTGTGTGTTTACCCTGCTGCGCCCTCAGGAAGCTGCTGGTCTCTGCAAACCGGGACACATGGACTTCATATCCCAACTCCTGTAAGACCCGCTGGTGCAGAACCACCTCTGTATCAGAGAGCTGATGTCGACCCGTCAGAACCACAGCCTGGTGCTGGCGGTGCAGGCGTCTCTGAGAGTGGAACCAGGCCTGAGGAGACATGTACTGGGATCAGCTCAGAAAGAAAATCCAACTTCATGATTCTCTGGAGTCAATTTGAACTGATGTTCTGCTGATCCACTTCATCTTCTCCAGCAGCAGTAAAATTTGTTATAAAAACAGCCATTTATCTTTCACTGAGTCTCTTTGGACGCCGCAGGTCTTTTAATGTCATCGTTTTGGCCCAAAACTGCACCAGTTTTATTTATTGAATAATATCTGCATTTACTCTCCAAGATCAAAGACATTTGATATTTACTTCTCAGAAGAGAGGAGAAAAAAAACTGTTTTATGATTTATAAAAACTTCTAGGTTCTTTCTGTCAAACTCCAGGATATTTATGAATATTTTACTTTAGGAGAACTCAGAGGATACTTTAGGATAATTTAATAAATACTTTAGGAGAACTCAGAGGATACTTTAGGATAATTTAATAAATACTTTAGGACAGGGGTCTTCAACGTTTTCCAGGCCAAGGACCCCCAAACTGATGATGAGATGGAGCGGGACCCCCTAATTATATATATTGACTGAAATGGGGTTATATCAAACTGTTCCTATAGTCACTCTATTACATAATGTAACTGAAGTAATGTCTCCCTGGGATTATTAAAGTATTTCTGATTCCTGGTTGATGGGACAGGTGTTGTAAATGAAACGGTGTCCAGCTTGAAAGAGCTCCTGTGTGTCGTTGAATGTGTGCATTGATGACTGAAAGACATCTTCTGCCTCCATTTATCTGTTTACTACAGTGTTTTGAATTCATGTTATGTGGATGTAAAGACATTTCAATTAGTGGAAAAATTGCAGGGGGGAATATAAAAAAAAAGTTTAATCAACCAAAACTTCCGTGACCCCCATGCAGTACCTCCGTGGACCCCCTAGGGGTCACGAACCCCCTGTTGAAGACCTCCGCTTTAGCAGAACTCAGAGGATACTTTAGGATAATTAAATATATACTTTAGGAGAACTCAGAGAATACTTTAGGATATTTCAGTAAATACTTTAGAAGAACTCTATGGATACTTTAAGAGAAGTCACTGGACACCTAAGGATAGTTCAGTAAATACTTTAGGATAACTCAGAGGATACTTTAGGATAATTCAGTAGACACTTTACGGGAACTCAGTTGATACTTTAGGAGAACTCTCTGGTTACTTTAGGAGAACTCAGTTGATACTTTAGGAGAACTCTCTGGGTACTTTAGGAGAACTCAGTTGATACTTTAGGAGAACTCTCTGGGTACTTTAGGAGAACTCAGTTGATACTTTAGGAGAACTCTCTGGGTACTTTAGGAGAACTCAGTTGATACTTTAGGAGAACTCTCTGGGTACTTTAGGAGAACTCAGTTGATACTTTATGAGGACTCTCTGGGAGCTTTAGGAGAACTCAGTTGATATTTTAGGAGAACTCTCTGTGTACTTTAGGAGAACTCAGTTGATACTTTAGGAGAACTCTCTGGGTACTTTAGGAAAACTCAGTTGATACTTTAGGAGAACTCTCTGGGAGCTTTAGGAGAACTCAGTTGATATTTTAGGAGAACTCTCTGGGTACTTTAGGAGAACTCAGTTGATACTTTAGGAGAACTCTCTGGGAGCTTTAGGAGAACTCTCTGGGTACTCTAGGAGAACTCAGTTGATACTTTAGGAGAACTCTCTGGGAGCTTTAGGAGAACTCTCTGGGTACTTTAGGAGAACTCAGTTGATACTTTAGGAGAACTCTCTGGGAGCTTTAGGAGAACTCTCCGGGTACTTTAGGAGAACTCAGTTGATACTTTAGGAGAACTCTCTGGGAGCTTTAGGAGAACTCTCTGGGTACTTTAGGAGAACTCAGTTGATACTTTAGGAGAACTCTCTGGGAGCTTTAGGAGAAAACTCTGGGTACTTTAGGAGAACTCAGTTGATACTTTAGGAGAACTCTCTGGGAGCTTTAGGAGAACTCTCTGGGTACTTTAGGAGAACTCAGTTGATACTTTAGGAGAACTCTCTGGGTACTTTAGGAGAACTCAGTTGATACTTTAGGAGAACTCTCTGGGAGCTTTAGGAGAACTCTCTGGGTACTCTAGGAGAACTCAGTTGATACTTTAGGAGAACTCTCTGGGAGCTTTAGGAGAACTCTCTGGGTACTTTAGGAGAACTCAGTTGATACTTTAGGAGAACTCTCTGGGAGCTTTAGGAGAACTCTCTGGGTACTTTAGGAGAACTCAGTTGATACTTTAGGAGAACTCTCTGGGTACTTTAGGAGAACTCAGTTGATACTTTAGGAGAACTCAGTTGATTCTTTAGGAGAACTCAGTTGATACTTTAGGAGAACTCTCTGGGTACTTTAGGAGAACTCAGTTGATACTTTAGGAGGACTCTCTGGGAGCTTTAGGAGAACTCAGTTGATACTTTAGGAGAACTCTCTGGGTACTTTAGGAGAACTCAGTTGATACTTTAGGAGAACTCTCTGGGTACTTTAGGAGAACTCAGTTGATACTTTAGGAGAACTCAGTTGATTCTTTAGGAGAACTCAGTTGATACTTTAGGAGAACTCTCTGGGTACTTTAGGAGAACTCAGTTGATACTTTAGGAGAACTCTCTGGGAGCTTTAGGAGAACTCTCTGGGTACTTTAGGAGAACTCAGTTGATACTTTAGGAGAACTCTCTGGGAGCTTTAGGAGAACTCTCTGGGTACTTTAGGAGAACTCAGTTGATACTTTAGGAGAACTCTCTGGGAGCTTTAGGAGAACTCTCTGGGTACTTTAGGAGAACTCAGTTGATACTTTAGGAGAACTCTCTGGGAGCTTTAGGAGAACTCTCTGGGTACTCTAGGAGAACTCAGTTGATACTTTAGGAGAACTCTCTGGGAGCTTTAGGAGAACTCTCTGGGTACTTTAGGAGAACTCAGTTGATACTTTAGGAGAACTCTCTGGGAGCTTTAGGAGAACTCTCTGGGTACTTTAGGAGAACTCAGTTGATACTTTAGGAGAACTCTCTGGGAGCTTTAGGAGAAAACTCTGGGTACTTTAGGAGAACTCAGTTGATACTTTAGGAGAACTCTCTGGGAGCTTTAGGAGAACTCTCTGGGTACTTTAGGAGAACTCGGTTGATACTTTAGGAGAACTCTCTGGGTACTTTAGGAGAACTCAGTTGATACTTTAGGAGAACTCTCTGGGAGCTTTAGGAGAACTCTCTGGGTACTCTAGGAGAACTCAGTTGATACTTTAGGAGAACTCTCTGGGAGCTTTAGGAGAACTCTCTGGGTACTTTAGGAGAACTCAGTTGATACTTTAGGAGAACTCTCTGGGAGCTTTAGGAGAACTCTCTGGGTACTTTAAGAGAACTCAGTTGATACTTTAGGAGAACTCTCTGGGAGCTTTAGGAGAACTCTCTGGGTACTTTAGGAGAACTCAGTTGATACTTTAGGAGAACTCTCTGGGTACTTTAGGAGAACTCAGTTGATACTTTAGGAGAACTCTCTGGGAGCTTTAGGAGAACTCTCTGGGTACTCTAGGAGAACTCAGGTGATACTTTAGGAGAACTCTCTGGGAGCTTTAGGAGAACTCTCTGGGTACTTTAGGAGAACTCAGTTGATACTTTAGGAGAACTCTCTGGGGGCTTTAGGAGAACTCTCTGGGTACTTTAGGAGAACTCAGTTGATACTTTAGGAGAACTCTCTGGGAGCTTTAGGAGAAAACTCTGGGTACTTTAGGAGAACTCAGTTGATACTTTAGGAGAACTCTCTGGGAGCTTTAGGAGAACTCTCTGGGTACTTTAGGAGAACTCAGTTGATACTTTAGGAGAACTCTCTGGGAGCTTTAGGAGAACTCTCTGGGTACTTTAGGAGAACTCAGTTGATACTTTAGGAGAACTCTCTGGGAGCTTTAGGAGAACTCTCTGGGTACTTTAGGAGAACTCAGTTGATACTTTAGGAGAACTCTCTGGGAGCTTTAGGAGAACTCTCTGGGTACTTTAGGAGAACTCAGTTGATACTTTAGGAGAACTCTCTTGGAGCTTTAGGAGAACTCTCTGGGTACTTTAGGAGAACTCAGTTGATACTTTAGGAGAACTCTCTGGGTACTTCAGGAGAACTCAGTTGATACTTTAGGAGAACTCAGTTGATTCTTTAGGAGAACTCAGTTGATACTTTAGGAGAACTCTCTGTGTACTTTAGGAGAACTCAGTTGATACTTTAGGAGGACTCTCTGGGAGCTTTAGGAGAACTCTCTGGGTACTTTAGGAGAACTCAGTTGATACTTTAGGAGAACTCTCTGGGTACTTTAGGAGAACTCAGTTGATACTTTAGGAGAACTCTCTGGGAGCTTTAGGAGAACTCTTCGGGTACTTTAGGAGAACTCAGTTGATACTTTAGGAGAACTCTCTGGGTACTTTAGGAGAACTCAGTTGATACTTTAGGAGAACTCAGTTGATACTTTAGGAGAACTCTCTGGGTACTTTAGGAGAACTCAGTTGATACTTTAGGAGAACACTCTGGGTACTTTAGGAGAACTCAGTTGATACTTTATGAGGACTCTCTGGGAGCATTAGGAGAACTCAGTTGATATTTTAGGAGAACTCTCTGGGTACTTTAGGAGAACTCAGTTGATACTTTAGGAGAACTCTCTGGGAGCTTTAGGAGAACTCTCTGGGTACTCTAGGAGAACTCAGTTGATACTTTAGGAGAACTCTCTGGGAGCTTTAGGAGAACTCTCTGGGTACTTTAGGAGAACTCAGTTGATACTTTAGGAGAACTCTCTGGGTACTTTAGGAGAACTCAGTTGATACTTTAGGAGAACTCTCTGGGAGCTTTAGGAGAACTCTCTGGGTACTTTAGGAGAACTCAGTTGATACTTTAGGAGAACTCTCTGGGAGCTTTAGGAGAAAACTCTGGGTACTTTAGGAGAACTCAGTTGATACTTTAGGAGAACTCTCTGGGAGCTTTAGGAGAACTCTCTGGGTACTTTAGGAGAACTCAGTTGATACTTTAGGAGAACTCTCTGGGTACTTTAG